TTGGGCTCACATTCCTTCCACCATAATCAACAATCCTGAAATTGACTAAGTGTTGAGTTAAATTGGCGGGCCGTTAATCAAGACAAGGGTTTGGCATTAAACCGGCGGACCGATGACTAACCAGGAGATTACTAAGCCTTTATCAAAGTGGACCGATTTGGAACAAACTGGAGGACAAGCCGACTTAGTGACTAACCGACTAAGGCCTCTCCGCGAATAAAGGGAAGTTTCTAGAATGCCCACCGCAGGGAGACGTAAATTCAGAAGGAAAATGAAGTTTTCCTTTTTAGACTTTAGCTCTAGCCGACTTAGACCAATATATATACATGTAAACATCTTCCACAGAAGGGATCCAAAATTCATTAGCAAAACACTTGTATTTTGAAACAGCTTTCTTAACAGCTTAATAAAAATCTTCTCTTGAGATCTATACGTTTTAGTGGTTTTCCGCAGAAGTTTTCAAACCCTAGAAAAAATACTAAGACAAATCTAATTAAGAGATTCGACTCCCACAATTAATTAATATTTTAATTTAGAAAAAGAACAAATTAAATTATTATTTTTAATTTGTATACACAAATTTTAAACATCACTTACATAATCAAGGCGGAGTGTCAAATTATTCATTTTTCAGATTATTATTTTGGAACAATTGTAAAAATACCATTTTTGGTGTGCACATTTTCAAAAATACCATTATGGATTGTCAATTTGCAAAAAAACACTAGTTATGGATTTTAAAGCCTAAATCTTAAAATTCTAAACACTAAAAATTTTTTTGACCCCTAAGAACCTTTAAACCCTCAAAACTAAACCTTAATACTACATAGTTAACCCAAACATAAATGATATAATGAATAAATAATTTTGAAAAAGTCATTTTGCAAAAATTTTGAAAATGTGACATTTTTGAAAAGTGGCACTTCAAAAGTTTCAAAAGTGATATTTCTCAAAATTTCTCTATTATTTTTAATCACTATTTGTTCATAGTTTACTTTATAAACTTTTTTCTTTTTACTATTTTTGGACCGTTTTTAAAATATCCAAAACCAAT